GCTAGCCTTGAGCTGAAGAGCTGAGGGACAGCGCCCAGGCCCAGAGTTCAGGCCCACGACCTGACCCCCGCCCCCCCCCCCAAAAAAAATGAGTCTCACAGACTTTCCTGCCTGGGCTGGCTTTGAACCAGGATCTTCAGATCTCAACCTCCTGAGTAGCTAGGATTACAGTCATGAACCACCAGCACCAGGTGAGAATTAGTTATCCTTTGAACATGACATCTGTTCAGGAGTCAGTGTCTTGTACCTGTTCCTTCCCAGAATGCTTTTCCGTAGAAATCTGCATGGATCCCTCCTTCACCTCTTTTAGGTCTTCCTTGGAGGTTACTTTTCCAGTGAGGACTTCTGGCTGCTGGGGATTGAGCCCAAGGTCTTGCATGCTCTAGACATGTGCTGTACTATTGAGATAAAAACTCTGTCTCCAGTGTGTCCTATTCCCTCCCTGACTTGCTTTTTCTTCTTCTGTGTTGTTACCAGGGTTTGAACTTAGGGCTTTTGCTTTCACTTGGATTTTGGATTTTTTGCTCATGGCTGACATTCTATCACTTGAGCCATGTTTCCACTCTGGCATTTTACTAGTTAATTGGGGACAAAAATCTTCTGGACTTTTTGAACTAGGGTCATCAGACTTTAGCCTCCTGAGAAGCTAGGATAACAGGTATAAATCACTGGTACTGGTACTTAGCTTTTTTTTTTTTTAAAGTGATTCTTGGGCCTTTCATACACTAGGCATGTGTTCTACTTCTGAGCCATACCACATTCTCAGCTTAACTCTGTAACTTTCTATGTGTAGGCAGATTTTGTTTTTTTTTTGAAGTTTGAACTCAGGCCTTGTGTATGCTAGGCAAGTACTCTACCAATGAGCCACTCCCCCAGCCTTAAGCAAAATTTGTGTCTGTTTCTTTCACGGCTGTAGCCCCCAATGTCTACAAATACTACTTGCTCAATAAATATTTATTCAATAAACGGAATAATTGCCTCCTTCCCCAGAGGGTTTTTTTTTTTTTTTCCAAATCTTATCCTGGGTTTGAGCTCAGGGTCCTGTGGTTGATAGGCTGGCCCTCTACTGGCACTTGAGCTATTCTTCAGTCCTGTGTTTTGCTAGTTATTTTTAAGATAGAGTCTTGCTTTCTGCCTTGGCACCAGTTTTAGGCTTCCCATAGTTGTTATAATGACAAACTTGAGCCACCACATCCACCTCTGCTCCAATGAGATGAGTCTAGTGGACTTTACTGCCTAGATTGGCCTTAAACCAGGATTCTCCAGCCACTGACACCCAACTAAGCTACTGTAAGGTTTTTCAGGACAAACAGTTTTAACTTACCTTCTAAATGAGTTATTAAATGTAAAGGTCTTAGAATAGTGCCTACCTACCAATAGTTCATTCAATAAAAGAGGTTGCTATATCATCATCATCATTATCATCATCATCATCATCATCATCATCATCATCATCAATCATCATCACCATCATCATCATTTTCTCTGTCCTGAGTATGAGGTAATCACAAAATGGTGTTTGTTGAACAAAAGGATGAGTGAGCAAAAAGATGGGCCCCCTTCTACCATTCTTTTTTTTTTTTTTGGGTCCAGTCGTGGGGCCTGAACTCTGGGCTTGGGCACTGTCCCTCAGC